ACAACGATGACAGTCTCGCTATTACCTGCCGCTGCCATATTTCAAATCCATTTCTATTTGTTTCTTCCGGCGAAAGCTGTAGATTAAGATCATGGCGTGACAATACATTTGGGACGGAGAAGGATCGGAAGACAAAATCTTGAGAAGCTTTTTTTCAGCCTAGAAAAGCAGAACTGCGCTGCTGGGTTTGAGGTGCGATTGACTTCAGGTGACGGAGGCGCGATTGACTTGCATCGGTTGGCTGGCAGCGTCAAACCCGGCCAGCCAAGGTGGCATTGGGCGTCTCCAGAGACGCTTCTGCAGCCTTCAGAGTGACAGAGGTCACTCTGTGGGTGCAGCCCGGATACACTACGAATGATCAGAGCTCAGAAGTGAAGGAGCAGAGATCCCTTCAAAGCCTGCACTCATATCCTGCCAGCAAACAGCACCTTTCCCAGAAGAGCACAAAGGCTTTCATTTGACATTGATTAAACGGTTCTGTGCGCTAGTACGTTGGACGGCTCTACTCTTCCATCTTCTGATTATGTCGGGCTATGATCTGGATCAAATTACCCACCAAAAATCTCTTATACATTTCTTTCATTACTGAATGCTTTATTATGATTTTTCTGGTAAAACTATTGATTGCATTTTAATTTCTTTCTATAACTGAAGCGTATCATCAAAATATAGTGTTTTGAACTTGTTTTAATCAGCAGTGAGTTTTTTCCTAAGTATCTTACATACAAGTGGCATCGCATAGTTCATTAGTGCTGAAAACCTGAACAAAAATGAAATATTAATTGACTAAAATACTTTCTATTTATCGCGACTATTTGCATGCTTGAAGGAACCCATAAAGGGCTATAACAGCTTTCTTCTCGAGTGTGCCTTTCAATTAAAAGACAAAATATACTAAGAGATTAAGAACGCTTGTCTTTTGTTTCATGTCTGTACAGTTCTCATTATGAATTCTTTTTTAAAAAAATCACTTTTTTTCATAAACAGCAACTTTATTGGTTGGATTCCTCTGAGAAAGATGCTTTAACGGGGGAAAACACTTAATAGTGTTCAACCGAGAATAAGCAAGGAACCCATAGAGCTATTTCATCATCCATCCATCCATCCATCCATCCATTTTATGTAACTGCTTACCCTATTCAGGGTCATGGGGGGTCTGGAGCCTATCCTGATCGCTAGGGGTTCAAGGCAAGGAACAACCCAGGATGGAGTGCCAACCCACCGCAGGGCAGAACAGAGAAATTTATACTCAGTAAAAATAAAAAGAAGATAATTGATCTATTAATACCTATTATGTATAAGTTGGTACTATTTTTTTAATAAAATATATGTTAAAAGTTAAAACTGTCTGGCGGACTCAAGTCTTCTCAAACAGAGGCCAGCTGAATGTTAGAACTGCATGACATCTACGTATTGGACACAAAATGCCTGATTGGGATGCAAAAGGATGGAGATGCAAGTCAAACACTCCGTAGCAGATATGATGTTCTCCTGCTCAGCTGCTGGGCTGCTCCAGTGGACACACCTGATAGATACTGAAAGGAATGAGAGATGACAAACCATCTGCCACAATGAAGCTGGACTGTATAATTTCCTGCATTTCCACCTGCCGGTATTTTCTAGCTGCTGTTATAGATGCAGATGTCTGCAGAGTTAAGCTGTGCTGAGGCCGTACGAGAAAGCCTGTGCACTTGGGAAAGAAATCGGGATTGTGGGAAAAGCAAATCTGTTGCCATCCAGATACATCTGTTTGTCATCAAGAACTTTTTATATAAATTTGAATAAGTAATGTTTTTTTTGCTATTTATTGTGATTTACTGAGCAAATTTAGTCACTGCAGAATATTACATTTCCAGTCCTTTTGTGGTGTTTCTGCATGAATTATGTCTTCGTATTCATTTCAATAAATTCTGATGCTGATTGTTATACTTTTGCTGCAATGGTGCAGCTCCGCACTGGCAAGGAGTCTTTTACATTCATTATCAAAAAAGGTTTCTTCTGTTGATTATGCGGTATTCATATATCCACAGCTTTGAAAGCCATTGCATTGTTTATTTAATAATGAGGGTAAGGCTGGTTGATTACTTTGTCTTTCTTTTGGAATTAATGACACTCCATTTGTTCAGGTATTAGTTTATGCAATTATCGAATGAACCTCACTTAAAATATGTATTACTTTCTCCAACATAATTGCATGAGTCCTATCAAAATTCCTTGAGCATGATGTTCCTGCTTTACAATGGATGTGCACTCAAGATGCCAAGAAATCCCAGTCTGTGAACAATGTGAAAGATTAGATACAGTGTCATTCCTCTTTCTAATTAATGAAACACCAACAAGTGTTGAGAAAGAATGACAAAGACAAATGTGCATCTTCATAATGCTATCTGTTGAACTTCAGTCATGAGGCAGCAAACCTTCGGTAACTATACCGAACGATTCCTAAACCTTGTAACTATAGTGCCTCTGGAGAACTTCTACAGCTGAAAAAATACCTAAAAGTATCAATATTAATTTCAAATTAGTGCTATAATGGTCCACTGTTGTTTTGCAATTAATTGCGGAAACATTTTTCACTTATATCAGAGAACATGGATGTTAATTTTTTCTGGTCTTGGAATGACAGAACATTTGTGGAAGTATTGTGGTAAAGTGTTGAGGTCTTCTGAGATCTGAAACACTTATAGAAAGGGCATCGTTAAAACCATTACCTGTGACTGCGTCTGATAGCTGGCTGCGATCCACATATACAGCAGTGTGTCTCAATCCGTACCCCGGGGACCCCCAGTCGGTCCCTGATTTTGCTGCCTCCCAGCTGCCTTCCAAACAGTCCAAAAATGTGGACTGTCATGGAGCCCCCAAGGACCAGATTGGGAAACACTGACATATTTGTCCTAAATACATTCCATATTTGTCCTAAATAGGTTCCTTTGTAGCATAAGCATCACTCAAGCCTACATACAACGAACAGCACCTAGTGTTATGTTTGATGTTCTCACAAGCAAGCATTGTTCAACTCAACAGCAGCAGCCATGGAGTGTGATTGTTCTGCAGGGAGTATTGGAGCCCAAGCTGTTCATACCATGATCACAGGTTCTCCCCACGTTTAAAAGGATCTCTGACCAATCAATCTGGCCATAAATTCTGGAAATGAGCAGTATGTTACTCAGAGACCTTAGCTGACAGCTGTCTGAACTTGCTGCATGCAGTTAGGCAAAATTATATCTCTAAATTTGGCCATGTCTGTGATGGACCGACATCCCAGCCAGGCCATATCCCTCGGATAGGGCCCAGGCCCCTCCCAGTTACACTGACCAGCATAAGTGGTCAAAAGACATTAGTAAAACTGACATGCACAAGCATCTTTTGATTTTGGCTTCATTGTTGTTGCAAGTTGAAGAAACAACCTAGATCATGTCGACTAGGGAACAAAATTGAATTGCCTTCAAATGCAGGTGACACCAAAGACAAATTACATAATGATATAAACTGACAGAGAATAAGTACTTGAATTGATAATAAGAAGACAGTGAAACATTTTCACTAAGGTCTCTTCAGGGATAATGAACTAAAATCAAAAAAAAAAATGTCAATTAAGAAACTTGGTGTTGATATCACCACCTCATCTACCAGCGGTAACCAGTTCAATATCTACATGTCTGAGGAGTGTGCAGGTGCAGAAAATTAATCAAGCAGTTCAAGCATGCAAAAGCAGATCTCTGGTTTCACATGCACCAGTGCAACTGCGATCGTGTGGACCGTACTGATTGCGCATTACTGAAGAGGAACCGGAAGGTGTTTTTTTTCCCTTCTTCTTTTGATTGATTGATGGAGATCAAGGGATTGTCTGGGGTGGTTTGTAAAACTGGAGGCACGTGAACAACAAACCCAGCAGGGCTTAAAATGCCTCGTGTTATTTGACAAAGATTGTCTCCCTGAACTGAGAAATGCGGACACACAGCTAATGTGAGCGGGAAATCACCACCAGCACTGCATGTATATGAAAGTTTACTCTTAGGCTCGGTAAGCAGCCTAAAGCAGACAGATAAGCATGCAGGGATCAGGTTGAAAATAGCAGGGTACAGATTCAGCTTGCTTCTCCGAACGGGAAAATCTTGATTTTTGTCAACATGTTTATGAAATGTAGCCAGCTAACTGTATCATTCGAACTTATGAAATATTCCAGGTAGGTTCTATAACAATCATAAAATCAGATAAAGTTACTGAGCGAGTTCATCTGTCATCTTTGTCAAGCTGTACTTGAGGGCTTATTATATTAAAGAAAAAAAAAAAGACCTTTAATATATTGTCATTCAGCACTAGTCGGCAGGTAGTCTTCCAGCAATACTTCTAACAGTTAATCCATTTTAAATATGTTTCCCAAATGAATTTCAAATTAACTGTTTAAGCTATTTGAGAAAGAACTTTTCATGGTGATATACCCATGCATGCAAAGTTAAATCAAGGTGTTATTGCAATGCCCTGACACCGGAACAGCTTCAGTAATTGGCTGTCAGCCGTACAGTGTAAATTAGCATAACAGCATAAATGTCCCTGCTTCCCCCTCACTTCACCAGGTATTGCACCAGGTTCTGCTAATTTTTTTCCCTTTTTTTTGCCCCAGTCAGGGCTTGACTCTAGCGAGACACACAGTTGCATCGGCAAGTGAAAGGCTATTTTGGAAACTTAAGCAAGTGGTTTAAAAGTGCTTTCCAGCCGCGAGAGGCTTTCTGTTTAATATGACCCGTTTCCTATCTGAGTGGAGCAGACGGTTTTGCTTTAGCCAGATTTTCTTCGCGTCCCGATAACAGCGGTCGTGCTTTAAGAGGCGCTCCTTTCCGACATTACCATATAACTGACATCCACTGCCTACAAAGGGAGTCCTCGCCGCAGTTCCCAAACAGGGAGAGCACCAGGTGTGGACAAACGCAGCGGCTATGAAGGAGCACATTCCGCATTTCCTCATTCAATTTACAGGTGCGGGGTATAAATGGAATGGCTCGCTTATAAAGGACACTTTTAATCACAAAACGAACACTGTCGCAGCTAGCAACCGCAAGGAAATGACACACCGAGAAAAATTAGCATGCATATATTAAATAAGTTACTATTTAAAAGTAGCCAAAGATCTTATAAAATCACATATATGACCTCCAACTCTACATTCAATATAAAATGAATATATAAAATATCTCTTAATTAGTTAATAAAATAGGCTAACTTCTCACATAACAGGAAAATGGTAATTATGCTTTCCCCCTGATTGTTATCTGTAAATTAGTCAATCTTACATTCTTAACCGATCTCATGTTTTCTTTTTTCATTGCAGTCGGGGAAATAAAAATGCTACGATAACAATGCTTTTGCAGGCCGACTATAGCAAATCCATTAAATTGGTAGCGGTCTTCATGGGCATTGTTGGAAAATACAAAAGTTTTGCATTCTTTAGCTCCTTCATTAGTCATAAAAGGACTTGATCCTCAGCATTATGCATCATTTTCCTGTGCTGCTCCCTCTTCTTCGATGCTACTTCAGGATCAATGAGAGCTCAATGCAATGTCTGCATTGACTTCAGTAACATTCATCTAGGCTGTTTACTGAATATTTTTATTTTCTATCCTACAGAAGATCCTGCTCTATCCAGACTGTCCTTTTCTGTTCCTCTAGGATTTTGTCCTTAATTATCTTCAGAAGGTCTTCCACCCCAGTCCAAGATTCGGGTTCCACAGAAGCATAGAGACAGGGCAGGCTCTCGAGATCTTTCTCCTTCAAACGGCACACCTTAAGGAAGTCATCCTCTGGGTCTATCTTCAATGGCAGCCTCCTTCAGAAATGAACAAAGCCAAACAAATATTAAACATTCAGAACACATACTGAACACATACATAAAATGCAATGTCTTTCCAAAAGAATAATAAAAAGAAAATCAAAAAATATTTTTGCAAACTTTAGCAACATTAGCAGCTTATTGTTAAACAGCGTAAGGTACATGCATTACCTTAGCTTTTTAATGTTCTTTTCACAAACTTTGATGAAGATGATGATTGGGTAGATTTCTCTTTTGATCAAGTCCTTCGTGCAGCTGAGGTCAGATTCCAACAGGCAATGTTTATTCTATAGGAAGATAAGAATTAATTTTCACTGGCATTGTAATAAAACACCTCCCAGGTGTGCAGTGAGAATAAATAAACAAATAAGTGTGTGTGTGTGTGTGTCTGTGTGTGTGTGTATATAATATACATAAACACTGTCATGGCCGCCACAGTTTATCTACCAGTTGACCTGACACGCATTGCCACACAATTTAGCTCACAACATCCCCGAAGAAATTTAATAACTACTTAAGTTTTACTAAAGCTTGAACAATATATCAATATTGGTTTCACATTTGCTTATTTTTTTCCAAGGCTTCACTGAGCTGAAATAATTGTCTCCGTCTGATTTCCTTTCATAAAAAACAAAAACAATTTGCTATCTAAAACCAAATGTTTCTTCTGAATGCTTCTGCTGGGAAACAATTTCCACATCAGCAGACACTACACTAAACAGCCTTCATATTTTATCGCAATCTGACCGCTCTGTATAAAGTTACTGATTCAGACTGAAGGACTGCACGCAGAAGTTCCTCCTGTAAGACTGCACATGCACAACATGCAGAATGCATTCCTTTTTTATCCTAAAGAGCAAGCTGGTTTCTCTGCTTATGGAAGCACTGGTATTGCATAAAACTTTCACCCAAGATTCTCTGAGTCTGAGGGACCAACTGTGTAATGATAACCAACACTGTCAATAAAAGTTACAATGAACATCAGCATCATAATTATGAAGATGGTTCAAACATTTGGACATTGTTGAAACACTTGTTACAATGCTTGTATCTTAGGTGAACTATGATGACTTTCAACTCAGCAGTTACAGGTTTTTATTCCTCTTTCAGAATATTGATGCATGTTAAAGGAGGGATTAAGACAGTTCACTTTCCCAGACTAACAATAAGAGAACATCTCGACCTGAACTTTGATGTACGTTGGCCTTAGGGGCTCTCGAACCAAACTTCCTTATCCTGTCCTTTTGATAATGGACGGTTGCCCTGAAAAAGACCCAGGGCCTTAACAAAGTTGACTTATGTCAAATTAAAGCTTTGCAGCTCAAAAGGATAATTGAATCCTATGAAGAATGGTTATCATCTTTTATATTCACGAGTCTTATTGTGTAGGTCTAAAAAGGTAAAGGTGGGTTATTGGCATATTCTGTGAATTTACAGAGGAGTAATGAAAAGGTGTCATTTGACAGAACATTCTTCTGGTCAAGAGTGTAGTAGTTTACCTTGCTGGCAACGGCTTCAAGATTTTCAGATGTGACGCATTCACAGGTATTATTGGCCTTCTCTTTCAAATAAATAATTGGCTCCATTTTTTGCTTCTGCAAAAACTCCTCCTTTGTGATGATATCTACGAAACAAAAGCAAATTAGCACATTGGTTAATCAGTGTACTCCTCGCTGCCACTTAAGGCTGTTTGGCTTTGCTGTTATTCCTATTATTGTCAATTGGTGCAAAATTGAAAGAAGATTATGTAATTTTGCTCACTCTTCTCACCAAGGGAGTTCATTATTCTTTCCTGGATATCTCACTCATGCAAAAAATGAGTTTGCTTTGGCACCACACTGAATATCTTTCTATACCTCCAAGTTAACGAGATAAAGAATTAATAGACCGCCATCTTTAAACTGCATTGTGTAATAGAAAGCCAAACTGATTCTACCAAAATTACTTTGATTCAACACATTGATTATCTGACAATAATCTTTTGGAGATAAGAAAAAGAAAACACCTCAGAACAGCAACACGTATCAAACTGTTTCTTGATTTCTCAGTTTGCTGGATAATGTATTTGTATTTACTGCCATCATTCATGATGGAAACAAGGTTTACAGGTAACCTATCTTCAGTCTTTGTATGTCCTCATATTCCATTCACCCATTCATATTCCATACACTTATTTAGTGTCGCATTGTGGGCAGAAAGCATCCGATCCCTGGAAGCACATGGCAGGGGAGAGACTGGGCAGGATGCCAGTCCATCACAGGGCATACACACACACACACACACACACACACACACAGTCTTGTAATCATGTCTTTTTGGGGACCGCTCATTCATTTCTATGGGAAAAATGCTAATGCTAACTATGACAACCTTAACCACTACCCAGCACTAACCATAACCATAACCGTAACCCAAAAAAAAATGCAACACTCGGGGAGCTGGGGGGTGAGGATACATCACTACCCACAGTGACACTGTGACAGTGACACCCATGGCTTCATTACGTCTCCATGAAGGAATAATTTTCAAAATGCAACATCACTACTACTTGTGAATAATGTATGGTAATCATGTATGAATTAGCGAGACAAGGTCAGTGTACAAAAACAGCAGACGAAATATAAAGCACATTGCCCAGAATAAAAACAAGCAAAACCTGCTGACCAATTATCCACTGTGGATGTATTTATAACAAGGAGTGACCCCAAGACCATCTGCCCCATCCTTATTGCTGCTTTTAATAACCAGCATCTGTCACTAGTCAGCTGGTAATAACAAGGGAAAGGATTAATAGTCGGCGTGTATGTACTGTGCTGTTAACAGGCACTGATCAGACTGTGATCGATGTACACATGCTTCCCGGATTCTTGGCTGCAGTACTATCATGAATCAGAGATAATAGAGCATAGATGCTTCAGGTTCCAGTTGAAGGGCCAAAATGAGCAGACCTTCTCTTTAATGCAAAGAAGGTTGCAGGCATCTTAATGGATAAGTATCCAACTTTGAAACTGAAGGTTGACAGGTTCAAGGTCTAGATGGGGCCATTCTGTTCGACAAAGGCATATATCTGCAGAAGAATGTCCAAGTTTAAGCCTTACAGATAATACTAAATAATATTATGTGAAGTAATACTGAATAATATTGTTAATGTTGAAACCATAGAACAGAGAACTCACCTGCCTATAGTATACTCTGTATCTAGTACCTACTTTCTTTTAAAGATAATTTATTCTTTCTGGTCGTCACATTCTCTGGTATTACTCCTCTATGCAACTACGTCTTGAAGGCCTCAGACAGCTTGTCTGGACCTTCTCATTACCTGGCTTGCAGAGGTCAAACTCCATTGCTCCTCCTAAATTGAGGATCTTCTGCATGATGGCTTTGGCCAATGTGTTGGGGACAAACAGGACAGGTCTCTTCCGCTGGCAGTGGTATGGAGTCACCAGGCTGTACGGCAGCAGGTTCAGGCTGTCGTTGAGGTCGCTCTCGCCATCCGAGTCTGCGTCGAACGGAAAACAGAGTACGGCAAACGCATCGTTCGACAGACCGATGACTGGCAAAAGACAAACCATGAAGAACGCAGCAAAATAATGAAACATCTGTCAGCTGTGACAATTTAATGTTTTTTTAACAAATGCGTGAATCTGTCAGTTCTGAGTCAGGCTGCAGATGGCCTTACACTCCTGCTTCATGGCCTGGAACCCGGGTCTGGGCAGGCTTCCGTTCCCCAGGCTCACTCTCCGCACTTTCTCGCTGCTGTTTGTCCGCTTGTATTTCTGCTCCGTCCTGCTCACGAACTGCGATGAGGTGGGGGAATGTCACCCGGACTGCAGTCGGCTCGCCGCTCACAAGGGGCGCATGCAAACGTGAAAGTGTCAGCCCTCACCTGTAGGATCTGTCCAAGCAGGACACTCGCACAAGAGGACCGGGAGCTGGATTTTGGGTCTCCTGGAAGTGCAGACTCTTCGGTCCGGAATAAACTCTAAACACAGCAGCAATACAGATACTGTGCATGCTATAATATCAAGGGCATAGGCTTGGGTATGGATGGTAGAGACATGTCCCTACCAATACTGTGGGAGTACCTGTGATTTTAGGAGGGGGGGGTGCAGGGATTATTTGGTCCCTACCATTGTTGAAACAAAACCTACACTTGTATAACTCTGTTTCCAAAAAGGTTTGGATGGTGTGTAAAATGTCAATAAAAAAAGAATGCAGTGATTTGCAAATCATTCACGCCCATATTTAATTGCACATAGAACAAAGACAATTAACATATCAAATGTTGAAAATGAGTAATGAATTTTTTAATGAGTAATTAAAGTTTTATGACAAATATATGCTCAATTTGAATTTGATGCCAGCAACACATTTCAAAAAAGTTGGGACGTGGCAAAAAAAAGATTGTGTAATGATAAAACAAAACACCTAGCTGAATAGCTCACAGCTAATTAGGTTAATTGGCAGCAGGTCAGTAGGATGACCGGGTATAAAAGGAGCCTCCCAGAGAGGCAGAGTCTCTGTGCAGTGAAGATGGGGAGACGTTCACCGCTCTGTGACACAAAGACTGTGTGGGCAAACAGTGCAACAATTTAGGAGTAATGCTCCTCAGGGTAGTATTGCAAGGAATTTGGGAATTACATCATCTATGGTACATAATATTATCAAAAGATTCAGAGAATCCGGAGAAAACTTTGTATGCGAGAGACAAGGCCGAAAACCAGTATTGGATAGCTGTGATCTTTGGGTCCTCAGGCGGCACTGCATTAACAACAGACATGATTCTATAGTGGAAATCACTGCATGGGCACAGGAACACTTCATAAAGCTATTGTCTGTGAACACAGTTCGTTGTTGCATTCACAAATGCAGGATGAAACTCTACAATGCAAAGAAGAAACCATATCTACACATGATCCAGAAACGGTGCCGACTTCTCTGGCCCCGAGCTCATTTAAGACGGACTGACGCGAAATGGGAAACTGTCCTGTGGTTTGACGAATCAAAGTTTCAGATTTTTTGGAAATCGTGGAAGCCGTGTCTCTGGGCTAAAGACGAGAGGGACCATCCAGCTTTGCATCAGATTGCCAAACCGCATTCTACAACAGCATGGCTCCGGAGTAGAAGAGTCCGTGCGCTAGACTGGCCTGCCTGCAGTCCAGACCTGCCACCCACTGAAAACATTTGGCACATCACGAAACGAAGAATTTGTCGCAGGAGACCCCGAACTTTTGAGCAGATGAAATCCTACATCAGGCAAGAATGGGATAATATTTCGCTTTCAAAACTATGGCAACTGGTCCCCTCAGTTCTCAAATGTTTACAGGGTGTTGATAAAGGAAGAGGTGATGCAACACAGTGACAAACATGCCTGTCACAACGTTTTTGAGAAGTGTTGCTGGCATCAAATTTAAATTGAGCATATTTGTCATAGAACAATAAAATTTCTCAGTTTCAACATTTGATATGTAGTCTTTGTTCTACTGTATTTTCAATTAAATATGGGTTTTTATGGTTTGTAAATCATTGCATTCTGTCTTTATTTACATTTTACACAACGTCTCAACTTTTTTGGAAACAGGGCTGTAGTTTTGTTAAAGTAGTAATTAGTTTAGTAAGTTTAATAAGTTTAGTAAGTTGGGAAAGGGCCACTAGCCTCAGCATGGCTGTATGACTCTCACAGATCTGTTTTGGGCATTTCTGATGTAGCGGTGACGCTCTCACCCTGAGTCCACGCATGCAGTCCGCCTCGTCCCGACCTCCCTTGCAGATCAGCTTCTGGATCTTCCTCAGGAGGAGATTCTGTGCCCTGCAAGACATTGAAGATGAAGTTAAATGAGCAGCGGGGGCCCGATCCACAAGCGGAGGGGGAGGGCCTCAAACACGGGGGCTAAGTTTGAGTTTGTGCCAGTGACAAGCTTCTGAGAATGAGGCAATGGGGTGTCCAGGCCTGCAGCCGCTATGGAAAGGGTCAGTGCGATACTCCTGCTTGAAGTCGCACAAGTTGTTGGTTCACAAAGGAGACTGAGCAGCCTCATCCCTGCTTACCTGGTGTAGTTGGGAATGGTCACTTTCTCCAGGTCTTGGTTGGTGAACATGTGGACACGAGCGCACAGCCACTCGCATCTCCCCTGGTGCATGGTGTCGATGACGTGGAGCACCTCGTCGCACTTCACGCACGTGGAGCAGCTGTCCGGCGGGCCGGACAGATCCAGGTTGAGGCGGACGTAGAAGGAGTCCCCCGACGTAAGCCAGCCCTCCTCCATTTCTCGCAGCAGCTTCCTGTAACCTGTCAGTAGCAGAGGAGCTACATGGGCAGTCTGGTTTAAAGGACCAAACCGAACCATCCTATGAGGATTACCTCACTAATCAGAGCTCTGTTTTAATCCCAGATGTTAAACTGCTGAGAGTCTAGTAAGTGATGTATATTACACCCTATATTAAGATCCCTTTGACTAAAACAAGTTCAAAACCATATATGTAAGGTATACAATCCGTGTTTCTAACAAGCAGCTGAATTGAATTAATTTAGGTGACCTCGGCACAGAGGAGGTGTTTACCACCATTCAAACCATGCATTTGTGTGGGACCCCCTGGTGGCCACAAACAGTAATTACACTTGGGGTGAGCCATGGGCCCGTAAGTAACATTTTGAGTGGTTGGCATCCTAAGGACTAGCAGCAAATACCAAGAACTTCCTGAACTATTTCTCCACGCATTCCCGGCAAAAGTAGATACCCAAATCCTAACCAACCCCCACACTGCAGTGCTTACCTTCATAGTTGGACCGAAAGTGCAGGGTGATCTGGCCCACACACCTCTGCAGCGTCCAGTAGGCTTCCTCTTTGGTGCAAGTATCAAGAGGTACAGTCTGGAGATTTCCTTGTACACATCCTTCAAGCTAACAAGGGGGGTGACGGTAAGGTAAGGCAGCGCAAAAGCGTCACGGTGGCTGTATATGTAATATATAACAAAATAACCTAAGCAGCAAAGAAAATACACATCTCCGCATATATTCAGGGGGGTTCAGCAGAGTGCTGGAAGGCCACATCACTTCTCTCACCAGTAAGAGGTTGTGTCCCTCTTTCAGGCCGGCGTTCTCCACGCTGGACCCTGGCTGTACCGAGGAGATGAAGATGCCGCTTGCATTGCCGCCCACTAGCGTGACCTCGGACAGGAAGGAGTCCCCAGGAAGAGAGACGTCTCGTATGGCCCGCGTGGCACCGTTCCCGGGGATGGATGACGACAGGGAGGGCCGGAAGGGTCTGAGGGAGGGGAGGACAGTCACGAAAAGCCGGGCGCGGAATGCCGACGCTAATCCGCCAGCTCACACGCGGGGAGTCTCCAGCACTGAGCTGGGAGTTCTGGACAGGCGCAGCAACAGCGAATGAAGATTCTGCTCAGTGCATCTACAGACACCATCCCAAACAAATGCACCAGAAGCAGGACTACGCTGACACGCCACGGTTAATACATAAAGCTGACATCTGCTGGTGGGTGGCACATCTGTTGTGATGGACAGATAAACGAAACAGAATTAGCAGAAAACCTGGAGTCAAACAACATATGTACTACAAATACTCCCGCTGCAGTTTTCACAGAAAGGAACAAATGATGCGTTCTTTCATCAGCGAACTGCTCTCTTGAACTCGCTCGCCTCGTTTCCATTGCTTTAATTAGTCTGAAACTTATGACAACTTGCTTGAGGGCACAATTTGTAAATGGCTCGCAGTAGGAGGCCACAATTAACATTTAAGAAAAGCAGGACAACAGAATGAGCACTTTACCCCAATTTGCTCAGACAAGATCTGATGGAATTTTTGATTACTCCAGGAATAATAAATATATTAATACAGCTTCAGTACTTGTTTCCATGTTTAAAATCATGTCAGAGCACTGGCTATTTGCAGCAATCCGTTTTTGTGGACTGTGTACTAAATTACTAACTAAATAAATTTGGGTAGATGTGTGTCCTGGGAAGCGTTTAGGTTAAAGGTATTTATTATTGACGTTTCTGATAAATCCAACAGACCATATACTGCTTTCTAGCTTATAATATGCAATGCCTCAGTCAATGCTACACCCACACAGCATTCAGCTGACTCATACTACCCCTTTTGGATGCACTTTGAATTGCAAAACACAGGAACCGACAGAGACAGGTTTGTGCGGTCTGATCATGGGGAAGAGACACTTTCAGTACCAGAATTTTATAAACAGTGATTGAAGTGGGGAAAAACAGGTGCAGGTACTCCCCTTGTTATTTAGTACCAGGTGCAGGTACTCCCCTTGTTATTTAGTACCAGGTGC